GTGATGGTGATGATGGTGATGATGGTAATGGTGATGATGGTGATAGTGGTGATCATGATGCTGGTGATGGTGGTGATGGTAATGACTGTGATGGTGGTGATGCTGACAATAGTGGTGATGATGATAATGATGGTGGTGGTGATGGTGATAGTGATGGAGGTGACAATGGTGATGGTGATGATAGTAGCTGAAATGCATCTGATACTTACTATGTACTGGGCACTATTCTAAGTACTTTCATTTTAACTCACAATACCCACAATGAGTATGAACTCATTAATGCCTGACAGGAACCCTAGAAAAGATAGGCACTAGTATAATCCTTATTTTTCAGACGAGAAATCTGAGGCACATAGAGATAAAGTGACTTGCCCAAGGACCTGCTTTTCTTAAGTAGGTCGCTCCTCCCAGCCAGCCCAGGTCCTTGCTCCCGGAGGTCTTGGAACCAGATTTGAGTAAATGGGAGCCTGGTCCAGCCTAACCACTGCCCCCATACGTCGCAAGCCACCTTCCAACAGGATGCCTGGCCCTGGCCGTGCCCAGAATGCTCACCACCACCCTCCACACCCACCCACCACTGCAGAGGAAAACAGGCACCTCCCCCCAAAAAGGGCCCAGCCCCATGTTCCAGAGCTGGCCTCCTAACTCCTCTTCAGCCTCGCCATCGACTGCTGAAGGACCTCTCCCCCTCTTCAGCCCTCCTTCCCCGATCTGGACCCTCTGCTAATGCCAGCCTCTCCTCTCCCAGGCTTCTTGTCTCTCCTCCCTGCTCCCCAGGGCCAGCTTCTCTGCCGTAGCATCCTAGACATCACCCCTATGCCTGGCTCTGCCACATGCTCCCCAGAGACCCTGGCCACCCACCAGTGGCCCTGAGGGCAGCCCAGCAGCTCTGAAGCACATTCCCCTGGGCACTTAGGCTTGGCCTGAGAAGGTCCAGGTCAGAGACAAGTTCTCCTCAGCATCTTCCCACCCATGCCCTCCTTCTCTCTCCAGGTCCCCTCAGGCCCTGTTCCCTCAAGAACCCACTCCCACCCATGCTGTGGATTTCTAACTTTTTGTGAAAACTTCCAAACCTCCAGAAAAGTCGAGACAGCTGTCTGATGCGGCAGTTCTCAAAAGGTAGATGGTCCCCAGACCAGCAGTATTAGCACCTCAGCCTCCCCTGGGAACATGTCAGAAATGCAGATTCTCAGACCCCACCCCAGACCTGCAGGAACAGAAGCCCACAGGCCCAGGAATCTGTGTTTCCACAAGCCGCCTGGGTGTCCTGTTGTGCACTCAAGTTTGAGAATCGCGGGCTTGAGGATCACGAATCACCTAATCTAATCCGTCTCTTAGATATGACTGTCCAGAACATCTTAGCATATTTCCTTCATCTATACTTTTTAAATAGTTTAAAATAAGTCACAGATGTCACAACCGTTCAGCCCTAAATGCTGTTTACACTTAGTTTGTTCAATTCAAGGACCATACATGGCATGAAATCGTTGTGGATCTTAAGTCAGTCTCTCTCTCTCCATCATTTAACCTGACTTCCACTACTGAAAACTTTCCCTGGGGCACTCAGAGCATAACTATCCTTGGCACCGAAGATAGCTTCAGAGTGGCAGCTCTCGCTAATTTATTTAAGAGCCAGATATATATGTTTTTTTCATGTGATAATATACACATAACATAAAATTCACCACTTTAAACATCGTAAAGTGTACAATTCAGTGGCATTTTGTTTATTCATAACGTCTTGCAACCGTCACCTCTATCTAGTTCCAGAATATTTTCATCACTCCCAGAGGAGACCCTGTACCCATCAGTAGGCCCTCCCCATGCTCCCCTCCCCCCAGCACCTGGCAACCATCAAGCTGCTCTATGTTTCTCCAGGGATTTGCCTATTCTGGACGTTTCATATAAATGGAATCATGCAATATCAGTTACATTTTAAAATAAACTTTCCCCTGGAAGTGCAACATAGTACCAAAAAAGGCACATATCCTCCATGTGGAGCTTAATGAATTTTCCCAAAGGGAGCCCTCTAAAGTAACCAACACTCAGATCCAGGAACAGGGCGTTCCTTGCCCAGAAGGCCCTCATGGTGTCTCTTTCCCATAAGCCACCATCCTGACTTCCCTGTCAACCGAGTTAGGCTGTTTTGGAACTTTATTTAAATGGAGTCACACAGCCACTAATTCTATTTTTGTTTTGTTTTATTTTGTGTTGGGGGGGAGGTAATCAGTTTCATCTATTTATTTACTTTTTAAAAATTATTATTTATTTTAATGGAGGTACTGGGGGTTGAACCCAGGACCCTGTACATGCTAAACATGCGCTCTACTACTGAGCCACTAATTCTAAGTCTCACTGCTTTTGCTCAACATTATGTTTTCTGTATTAATCTGCTAGAACTTCCATAATCAGACACCACGGATTGGGTGACTTAAACAACAGAAATGTGCATTCTCACAATTCTGGAGGCTGAAGTCTGAGATCAAGGTGTCAGGCAGCAAGAGGCCTCTCTCCTAGACTTCTCACAGGGTCATCCCTCTGTGTGCCAATCTCCTCTTACTGGATTAGGGACCACCCTGATGATGTCACTTTAAGTTGATCACCTCTCTAAGGACCCTATCTCCAAATACAGTCACATTCTGAAGTCCTGGGGGGTTTAAACTTCAACATAGGAATTTTAGGAGGACACAGTTCATCCCATAGGAGTTTGTGAGGTCCATCTGTCATGTTAATTGAGGGGGCAGGAATGCTGGGGAGGGGGGAGCCGTGCGGTGGCTGATGTAGTCATCCAGGTGGGAGAGGCTGGGGACTTCAACCAGCAGTTGGTGGAGATGCAGATTCACAGCTGTTTAGGAAGCAGAATCCACGTTGCTGATGCACTGCTATTCCATAGTGCATGCCTTTGTGTGAGAATTCTTTTAAAGGCACCCCTTCCTTAAGACATTTTATACTTTTATATGTTGGAATATGGTCAGTAATAAATCTAAATCTCAAAAATGTGCACAGTGCTGGACTAGTCCAGTGCACAAACCCCATGCTGTTCAGAGCTTCCTGATGAATGGGGTTAGAAAGACTGAATTGTCAGACTCAAGAAAATGGACCCAGGGGCAGGGAGACTAGCACAGAGAAGAAAAGTAGGGAGGGAGAGAAGGGACAGACCACTCCTAGGATGGCAGACAGGAGGGGACTCTTTCGTGGTCACCTGGCTAATGCTCGTTTCTCTCTGCAGGCAGTTTGCCAAGATTGAAGCTGCCACTCAGCGCCTAACCATGTCCATCCTGTCCCAGGAGGCACCTCCCCGGAGACCACCACCCCAAAGGCCACCCCGACCACCTCCATCCCCCTTCCTGGGTGTGGCCTGTGCTGTGGCCCCCACTGAGGCACCCTATGCCGGCCCCAGCCTGAGTCTCGCTGCCCTGGATGCTTCCACCCTCGACCTCTTTGATGACATTGCACTCACCCCAGAGTGTCCCTCAGTGCCATCTGAACAGTCCCATTGTGCACTGCCAGGCCAGCTAGACTTGGGGCAGGACCCATACTTCTGTGATCCCCTGGTCCCTACCCCGCATGCCCTGGGGGGAGCAGGTGAGCTCTTGGCTCTCCATGGGGGTTGGGTGGGCAGGTGGGAGACGCCTTGGGGTTGCCATTCTCAGGGGACCCCTGAAGGCGGGGGGACCTGTCCCCCATGACATTCAATCAAGGAAGGCCTTGCTCTCTCCCTACTCTGCTTCTCACTCTTTCTTCCCAGCCCCACCTCTTCGGTGACTATCCCTCCAGTTCCGTCTTCCCCTGGTTCATCTCTGCCTAGTGCTGGTCTCTTCTTATTCCCCAAAATTTGCTGAGCACCTCTTACGTGCCAGGCCTGGGTCTAGATGCTGACGATTCAGCAGTGAATAAAAACAGACAAGATCTCTGTCCTCTCGGAGTTCACATTTGGAATGGGGGAGGGAAAATTGGCGGGGGGGGGGGGCAATAGAAAATAAATGACAACATACATACGTTTTTAAACACAAGATAAATTTCTAATTTCAGATTGTAATTAGTGCTGTGAAGAAAATAAAACAGCGACCTGATCGAGTGACTACTTGATGAAGGGTGGTCAGGGAAGGCCTTGAATGATAAGGAGTTGGCCCTGGGAAGGTCCGGGGTTCTAGACGGCGGGACCATCATGTGCAAAGGCCCTGAGGTGGGCTGTTGGGGGAACAGCAAAGAAGGCCAGTGTGGCTGGAATGGAGTAAGCCGGGAAAGAGTGGTAAGAGGTGAGGACGCAAGGTTGACAAGGCAGAACATGAATTGGGAGTAGTGTGGATTTTATTCCAAGGCTGATGGGAAATTCTCTCTCCATCTCTCTCTCAACCCCATTTCCAAGCACAGTCTAAATATTGCAAACATCACCCTGGGGGGCAGGTGCTGTAAGATGGGGAACCAGGCTGCACAGAGAACTAACGGGCGCAGACAGGGAGGGACTTAAGCTCGTAGCTTCTTCGCACTTTTAACACTTTCCCGGAAAGTGCTTGGGTCTCTTTGTAAGTTTCTGTCTCTAGACTGAAGGGCCAGGGTTCGAATCCTAGACCTGCCCCTGCCCTGGGCACGGTCCCTTCCTTCCTCCCTCTCTCCCGGCCCCAACAGTCCAACTTTACAGCGGGGCAGATGGCGACGCACTCACCCAGCTGGAGTCCGCATGCTCCGTACACACCGTGCCGTTCCTCCCTAGGCCCGCCTCTCACGCCTCTCACGACTTTCCATTGGTCGGACACGCTCTTTCCCCGCCGCGCCACCGGCGGATCAATAATGCTCTCAGGACATTCAGTGGGGCCCACACAGCCCCTCCAACAAGGCTGAAGTAGCGACGCTTGAGGATTGGCTGGGAGAGGGGGCTGAACAGAGCGAGGCGAGTGCCTATTGGGCGGCTCGGCCTGGGTGGGCGGGACGCAGACGGAGCTGGGCGGAGGCGGGGCAAGTTTCGATTCAGTGCGAAGCGGTAACCCGGCCTGGGAACCCCGAGGGAGGACCGGAGCCGCTGAAGTCCCGGCTGCGAGAGGTGAGTGACTCCAGGCCTCACCTACGGAGGGCGGGCCGGGCTTGATCCCGGCTCCTTCGGTGTGAGGCCCCACCCGCGCTGCCTGGGACCGACCTCCCCCCAGGCTGGTGGGGAAACTCTGCCAGGACTTCCCCGGCCGCGGCCAACCCCCAGGTCACTTCCGCCCGCTCTGCTAAGTTTCCGCATCATCCCTGCGTGGAGGGTCGGTTTGACCCCAAGGAGGGAACTGAGGCTCAAACAGAGCCTGAAACTTGCCCAAGGTCACACAGCTAGTCTTGGCTGCAGAACTGGGTTCCTCAGGCCACGTGGGGATCTAAACAGCCCCATTCGCCCCTCAGGTTGCCGCCCACCTCGGGCCGCCCCTCCCCCTCCGGCCTTGGGCTCCCTCCACTCAGAGGTGCTCTGGTTTCTCATCACACCCCGAGAGAACCCCCAGTTCTGTCTCCAGCCCAGACCTCCTGCTCACATTCACACCCCCCCAAATTTTCAATCTATCCCTAAAGTCAATTCCCCTCTCCAGGTCCCCAAATAGTCCCTGGGAATTGCCACCCTCGGACCAAACGAAAACCTAAGGATCTTCCTTCTTCCTCCTTCCCCCACAGCCAGGCCCATCTGCCCCCTGAAGCTCCCTTTCCTGCCCTTGTCTGTTCTCTCTGCCTAAACTGGAGCCCAGGCCTCACCCTTGACCACCTGGATCCCAGCCCCCACTTTCTCCCTGGCCTCCACCTCCAGTCCAGCCCCATGGCGGCCAGCGAGTCTTCCCCATTTTGTATCTCGAAAACTTTTTATGGAGGTATATATATATCACAGACATAGGAAAACATACAAACCACGGGTACAGAGCTCAAGTAACTTCACAAAGAGAACACTCTGGTGTGAGCAGCGTCCATCCAGAGGTTGAACATCCCCCACATCCCAGATGCCTGCCTTGTACCCTCTTCCTCACTGTCCCCCATGGGTAACCATTATCATAACTTTAACTCCACAGATTGGTTTTGATAGGTTTTCACCTTATGTAAATCTTTTCTTCTTGTATTTATTCCTGACTAGACAACTTGTTACATATTGTCCAAAATTGTGAGTTACACACAGTGAAAATCAAATGTCCTTTACACTCTGTCCCTCAGAGGCCTGTCCCTGCAGGAAGAGCCTGCTCCTTAAATGGCTTCCAGAGAGAGCAGACATAGACTGGAACTTTTAAGAAACTTTTGTTTTTTGGCACAGATGGGAGCAGTGCTATACACACTATATGCTTTCTTCCCCCCTCACTGTTAACATCTCTTGGACACTTTTCCACATTGTTACTTAAAGATCTTCCTTGTGATTTTTCCTGGCTGCAAAGAATTCCATAGTGTGGATATACCATAACTTATGTAACCAGTACCTGAAATGTGGTTGTTTAGATTTATTTCTAGTCCTCTGCCCTGGGAAGAGTTCCATAATGAATAACCTTGTTCTGTAATGAATGACTTTGTCCCATAATGAATAACTTTGTGTCACATATCTGCAGGATAAATACTTAGGAGTGAGTTCCCTGGGTCACAGGGTTTGTGATTCTGTAATTTTGAGATATGTGGCCATGTGGTTATCCCTAGGGGTTGTTGTAATCCACACTCCTACCAGCCCAAAGGGGAGCTCTTCATTGCTACACACACTTGTCACAGGTTCTCCAACATTCCATCCCTCCCCCTCCCCAACCTGACCCTGTCCCTTCTGTCTCCTGAAGAGTTAACACCTTGAAGGGAGTGAGAAGAGCACTCCAGGTGAAGGGAAGTGCATGGACAAAGGCCCTGAGGTGGGACTGGGCCACCAAGGCTGGAACGGTTCCCAGAGTCTTGTGGGAGGAGCTTATACCTTCGTCCTGAGGAAGCTAAGGGGGTGTTAAGGAGAGCTGAGGTGGGGGGGTAATAGGGTCAGCTTTGGATTTTCAAAGATTTTATTTAAATTTTAGCTATGTCACACACAGAAAACATTATCAGTGGTAGATGTGTTCAGTTTAAAGAACAATCACAAACATCTTAGGGACTCACCACTCAGCTTTAAAGCTTGCCAGGAAGGAGTGTCATCTAGTTTGCTCTCTACTGGGTCTGCAGAGTCTCTGTTTCCTAAATAAATTAATAAATAAATGAGTAAGTATGCAGAGAGGGAGCTGGAACTTCCATCTGTGCAGCAACTTGGGGACCCAAGGACACAAGGCTCCTGGGTACATGAGCTGGGACATGTGAGACTCGAGTCCAGGGTCCAGATGCTCAGATGCTCTGACAGGGTGGCAGGCATGCCTCTAGTCCCTGCAGGATGCAGGACCCCTGGGACTCAGTGTCCTTCCCTTTAAAAGGGTTACTGGTCAGGTGGCTCTAGCAGCCCCCCTTAATTTTTTTCTTTCTTTTTAAAAAATTGCAGTAAAATACACATAACCTAAAATTTACCATCTTGACCATTTTAAAGTGTAAAATTTAGAGGCATTTAGTATATCCATGATACTGTGTAACCATCACTACTATCTAGTTACAGAATGTTTTCATCTCCCCAAATGGAAACTCTATACTCCCTTTCAGTTACCCTTCATTCCCTCCGTCACCCTTCACCCCAAGGTGGAAGCACCACCAGCCTGCTTCCTGTCTTCATGGACTCAACCATTATGGACAGTTCATGTAATGGACTCCTGGGTGGGGTCATTTGTGACTGGGCTGTCTCACCAAGCATCATGGTGAGGTCACCCATGCTATGGCATGTGTTAGCACTTCACTCCTTTTCATGGCTGAATAATATTCCATTGTATGGGTACACCAGCCTTTCTAAGACCTGGAGGGGAGTTCTGCTGGCATGTTTTACACAGGGGTAAACTGGTCGCAGAGAAGGCAGTCAGACTGATGGATCCCAGGTCACTGCCACTGCCGCTAGGACAGGAAAGAGGGAGGTGGTGCAGCTGGGGGAATGCAGCTCCTGTTGCCTCAGGGCTCACATCCTGCTCCCTTTCACAGGCAGTGGGCCCCTGAGCAGGACACTTCACCACTAAGACCTTGGTTTCCCCCTGGGGGTGGGGAAGTTCACAATTGAAGCCTAGGGTCTAAATGTGTGGACCCTGGACATGCAGAGAATCGCCCTCCCTGCCTGATCCCACTCCTTCAGCCCCTCTGCCCACCCCAGGACATGGCAGCTGTGTGGCCTGGCCTGGGGCGGGTTGTCCCTGGATCATCCATCCTGTTCCTGTGCGACATACAGGAGAAGTTCCGCCACACCGTGTACTTCCCCCAGATCGTCTCTGTGGCTGCCCGCATGCTCAAGGTACAGCCCCCTCCTCCCTCAGACCCAGAGATCCAGACCCCAGACCCTCCTTCCGCAGACCCAGGGGTCCTGACCCCAGACCATCCTCCCTCAGACCCAGGGGTCCAGTTACCTATTCCCTCCTCCCTCAGACCCAGGGATCCAACCCCCAGCCCCTCCTCCCTCAGACCCAGGGATTCAGACCCTCAACCCCTCTTCCCTCAGACCTGGGAGTCCATCCCCCAGCCCCTCCTTCCTCAGATCTAGGAGTCCAGACCCCTAGGCTCCAACCTTGGGCTCAGACCTTTGCTCCTCCCCGCCCCCCAACAGGTGGCCCGGCTGCTAGGTGTGCCAGCCGTGCTGACTGAACAGTACCCACAAGGCCTGGGCCCCACGGTGCCCGAGCTGGGGGCTGAGGGTCTACAGCCACGGCCCAAGACCTGCTTCAGCATGGTGCCAGTGGTGCAGCAGGAGCTGGACATGCGGCCCCAGCTGTGTTCTGTGCTCCTCTGTGGCCTGGAAACACAGGCCTGCATTTTGGTGAGACACCAACTGAACCGCTGGGATCTCCATTCACACCTGGGATCTCCCCAACCTAAAAAGGATGTCCTTCCTCTCCCAGAACCCTCTGTCCTCCCCTTCCTGACCCATGACTTCCCTCTGGACCTGGGACTTCCACCTTCCTTCAGGACCCCTCTCTTTACCAGCGGCTACCATCCTTCCTAGGATCATGTTGTAATCTAGGGACCTCCTGCTGTGATCCAAGCCTCCCTCATCCCCATCCTGGTTCCCCACTCACTCACTCAGGACCCCTGTTCTTGTCTGGGGTCGGCCCTGACCTCTTTCTGTCCTTAGCACACGGCCCTGGACCTCCTGGACCGGGGTCTGCAGGTCCATGTGGTGGTGGATGCCTGCACCTCCCGCAGGTGAGAGGGTGTCCTAGAAGAGTGGGGTGCATGTGGGGTGGGCTTGGGGCACCCAGGAAGAACCAGTGGGCAGGATCCCTGCTGAGTTTCCCAGGAGTCTGAGTGTCTAGATCAAACTGCTGGCACTCTCCCTCCCGCTTGCAGCCAGGTGGACCGGCTGGTGGCGCTGTCCCGGATGCGGCAGAGTGGTGCCTTCCTCTCCACCAGTGAAGGACTCATTCTGCAGCTCGTGGGTGATGCCGCCCACCCCCAGTTCAAGGAGGTACTGACCCCCCTGTCCCCCACACCTCCCTGACCCCCCAGGCAAAGGGCAGGTATCTTTTTAGCACCCGTAGCATATTTGCAGAATACATCCAGGAACATAGCAGGCTGCCACCTCCAGGGGCGCCAAGTTCAAGTGGGGGAGACTGAGGGTCAACATCATAAATC